AAAACTTAAAGAGTGACTGAAGTTTAAAAAGCAGATCCCTACCGATGAGCATGATAGGATGTAGTGGTAGTTGCGGTCGGTAGGGCAATAAAAAGTGTTTTTTCCTCAAGTCATCTAAATCACTGCACTGAACTAGAAAGTGGTGTACTGTAAGTAGATCTTCACACCTCTAACAGATGGGCTGGTCATTGCCAGACAAGAGGTATGAATGTGTAGAGTGCGTGCGTCCTATCTGCAGCCTTGCAAGTGTAACCTCCGTCTAGCGCGAGCTGGACATTGGTGGCCAATTTCCAAGTATCGGTTTAATACCATGAAGTTTGTTGTCTGTTTGCTTATCCCATAGGTGCTGCCAGAACGCCCTGAGCTCCCGTTGTAACCCATGCTCAGTCCTCGGCCTTTGGATTTGTGCTCATCAAGAAGGTTGCGCAAGGAAGTGCCCATTCTTTTTTTCACATGGTTCACACACTCCTGTTTCTTAATCAACATGTAGCCATACACCTTGTCTTGCGTGAGGGCAAGGTACGTACGGCTGTCACCGTCGCAGAGCACATTGATGTATCGAAGCTTGTACTTGGTAAACGATCTTTCAAACATGATCCTCGCTGCTTCTACTTCCATTTGGCCTGCATTAGCATCGGTGTTCTTTTGGCACTGTGGCTTGTGTTTCTCAAGCCACTCCTCATAGTTGTCGTCACCAGGCTTGGGACCAACAGCACAGCCTTGGCAGTAGTTGGACAGGACACAGTGGTCCAAGACCAAGCCTGTGTACAGCTCGATTACACAGCCCACGCCAATATGACTTCTGTGCCCCCTCGTCATCCACGTGCCGTCGTAAATGACGTCAATGTTGCCTGGCACTCCTCCTAGGTCCTTGTAAATGTCATGCACCTTCTGTGCACTTTCTGCTTCAATGCGGGTGGCAGCTGATGTGGTGGCAGGGTGGCTGTACTTCCTTTGCAGTCTCTGGTAGGACTTGTGGTGCAGTGCTCGATGCGAAATGTCCATCGCAGAAAAAATGTCATTTATGGCAGATTGTTTTCTGCCAACTGACTGCACAGCCCTCAAAGCACGCACGTTTACCTCAAAGGGGTTCGTTTTTTGTTGCCCGGAGCACCTCGGGGACGACCACGCACTGTTCACTATGCCACAATTGTCACAAAAAAGTTCCATCCTCGCCGCGAGTCCAAGGCAGTGCGTAGTCTCGAGGCGTATCGACCCTTCGTCGCACTTGTTGCACTTTACTGACGAAAGCAGACCGTTCAGCATCTTCTTATTTACAATGAAGAATGTGGAGTCCTTACCGCCGTCATTTTCGTCGCAGCCTTCGTTCAGAAGCTCGAGCTTCCGCTTTGAAGCGGATTTCGATGCTACGGCATCCAAAACATCCCGCCTTGTCTGCGCCCGCTGCGCGATTTCTTCACTGCTCGGAATCTGGGCCGAAACTCTCGATAGAATGTTCGACGCGCGCACGCCCGGAGTTGCAACGGCTGCCGACGCGGTGCCACCGCAATCGGGTTCGCGAGAGCGTCCATCACGGTCGACGGCATCCGGCGGTCTGACATACGACGATGTGGCACCTTCCACACTCTCGGCCTCACAACAATCAGCGAAGGGTCTGAGTAGAGGCTCCGTGACGCTTGAAGAGCATGCTCCGTCCGGAACTGCGACTGGGACGGCAGCCGCAGTCGTCTGCCCTTTGTTCCAAGCTTTCCGACGCTTGCCGTACTTGTGGACGCTCCGAAACTTTTTTTGCGACAACATAGCACCGCAGTATGAGCAAGCACTCAGAAGAGACCACCGATGTAAACAAAGCTTGGTAAAAAAAGCACGCGAACTATCACAAAAACAGCCAACTGGCAAAAAACGAAGCGCACGCCGGATGATTCTCGACACGGCGGCCGCAGATGCGCTCGCGCTTCCAAGGTTGCCAAGGTGCGCGGCGCAGCTTTGACCAGTAAGAGGTCGCGCCTGCTACCACGTGACCCGCGCAGCCAATTGCCGTTCTTCGTTTTCGTTTTTTTACTTGCTCCTCGCGCTTTTATTTTCACTCGGCGAAATACGAGACCGCGACCATCGGGAAGCCGGCTTTCTCCTCTTTCCAAAGCTACCAAAATGGCGGCCCACGGTCAACAACTTGGCGCGTTTGTGCGGCGTGAACAACACCGTTTCAGGGGCTTTTTTTTCGCACTTTTCGGCGACTAGCCTCGGCAAAAACACTATTTGCGGGATTTGTAGCGCACGTTTCGCTGTAATATTTTAGAACAAGGAAGTTGAAGGTCTGAAGATTACGAAAAAAAATAAATCAGAAAATCGCATATTTTGACCAAAATCGGCACTTTACTTGCCGCGCCCCCCCTTAAAGAGTGACTGAAGTTTAAAAAGCAGATCCCTACCGATGAGCATGATAGGATGTAGTGGTAGTTGCGGTCGGTAGGGCAATAAAAAGTGTTTTTTCCTCAAGTCATCTAAATCACTGCACTGAACTAGAAAGTGGTGTACTGTAAGTAGATCTTCACACCTCTAACAGATGGGCTGGTCATTGCCAGACAAGAGGTATGAATGTGTAGAGTGCGTGCGTCCTATCTGCAGCCTTGCAAGTGTAACCTCCGTCTAGCGCGAGCTGGACATTGGTGGCCAATTTCCAAGTATCGGTTTAATACCATGAAGTTTGTTGTCTGTTTGCTTATCCCATAGGTGCTGCCAGAACGCCCTGAGCTCCCGTTGTAAGAAAGATTTCATGTCAAGCAAAGGGCCGGCCATGGGTGTATTGGCGGGTGCATGGTCGTGCACAGATGCAGCTAGCTGGTCTGCTGCCACGTTTCCAGTGTTCTTACGGTGGGCAGGCACCCAGCACACCACAACATGTCGTTTGAGAGTGTAGATACTGCATAAAAGATAGTAAAGCGACACAAGCACCGGATTTTTATGTTTTTTTAGTGTTTTCAAAGCTGTGACGATACTCAGTAAATCTGTGTATATAACCGCGCGCTGTAGTTGTAATTCATTAATATGCCTGACAGCCACAGATACCGCATGGGCTTCTGCGGTGAAAATGCTTGTTTGGGGGTGCAGTATACCGAAATTTGAAAAAGATGGGCCAACAGTTGCATAGGATACGCCAGTGTGAGACTTAGAAGCATCTGCAAAGAATTCTGGGCAAGTATACTTGTGTTGGAGTTTGAGGAAGTGCGTGCGTATATGTGCAGTAGGTGTGCGTTTAGTGACCTCTATGAAAGATAGATCGCAGTCTATAACTTGCCATTGCCATGATGACGGATATACTGTTCCAAGTAGAGCCATCAAACAGTGTTCTACAAGTAACACGGCTATTTGTGGTAGATGTTATTAGTGGTAGACATTGTGGTAGACGTTGCAGGTGAACAACGCGCCGTCGGCGCGGTGTTTGTGGTTGCACTGGCGGTGTTTGCGGTGGCACTGTTTGCGGTCTGAGATGGCGAGCGTGCGGAGTGTTCGGAGACGCAGCGCGAGCGCCATTTTGGACGTCACTTGCTTTGTTTTTGTGCTGTTGTGCTTGTGTGGTGCTATCGGCAAAGAAGTTTCTTCTGCATTCAGCAGATGGCGCTTTGCCGTACAAGGCGCGACATTTAAATTTTGATCGACATCGTCTGTGCTCGCAACTGTTTAGCATGGTTGCAAAACTATCTTTGGCTTTCACTGCGTTCTTATTTTGTGATATAATGGCTTGATTTAATGTTGTTTCAAACATTAAAGGCACTGACTATCGTACCGAAATAAAATGAACAGATACATTAAAAAATGTTTTTTTCTTTTTTTCCGGAGACCAAGGTGGGGGTGGGTTCATTATGCAAGTGGATTTATTATGAGAGTAAATACGGTATGTGGGCCTACTGATACTGTGACGTCCCCGAATGCTACAAGTTTTGAGACATTGTCATACCGAAGCATGTCGCGGACCTCCAGAAGAAGGTCGCCACTTCCCATCTTGGTGACATTATATCGTGGGCCAATTGCTTCCGTGAGGGTTTTCGATACAAGAGAAGGTGATATTGATTGGACTGTCTTACCGTATTTTCTTTTTGGCTATGTACTACTTGATACTTGAGAAAGGATTGTTTTGGTTTGAAAAGTACAACCTGTTCTTCGGTGCGCCACCTTTTCGTGCGGCGATCAGGGAGTAGGGAGAAAAAGTGTGTCATACAGGAAATATAATGTTCTGTGGCGATGGTGGCCACCCATCACCGAGCCCAACAAAGGGACGCTGCAAGGTAGAACACTTGAAGACGCCAGCCATATATAACCATCTATAACTTCCCAAGTTTGAGCAATCACACAGGGTTAACACTAGTCGCCAGGAAATTTGGAAGCAAATAGAAAAGAGAAGATGTGACAGGATAGATCACACGGGGTTAACCCTAGCCACCAGGAAATTTGGAAGCAAACAGAAAAGAGAAGATGACATGATAGATTTAAAGAGGAGGAAAGAGGAAGATGTATGGAAAGAGAGATAGGAAAAGGCGACTGCCAATTTCCCCTGGGTGGGTAAGCCCAGGGGTTCCATCCACGTGAAACCGGGGCCAAAGGGGTGTGTTGCCTGTGCCGAGGCCCCTAAATGTCCAATCAACCGGTGTCGGCTCAACTCCCCAGAATCCCTTTTCCACGGACACGGCTCAACCACGCATGGCTAGGTGTGAGAGAGGTCGAAACCTCCCCGTGAGCTTGGGTTCGTGGTGTCGCTACACACCAAACACCTGCTTGCACAGATGCCCCTGCGGGGAGTATTGAGGAAAAGTATTCGTTGTGATGAGACATTTTTCGCATAGTTTTCTATGGGGAGCTGATGGGGAATTGAAAATTATTTCTTGTAGAGGACTTTTTTTTGGCGGGATTAGACTGCAGCTGTTTAGTGACACAGGTGCTACGAGTTTATACATTTTGCCTAAACTATTTTGTTTGTCCTTAATAATTGGCTGGGCAACTCATCAGATGAGACAGGCATAAATAAAATTCGAGAGACAAACCTAGCAACACACTCCCCGGACGGGATGACCACGTCGCTGATGGCGACTTTCGTGCCATTGTGGGGCGGTGGCTCGTTCCGGAAGAGCACAGGGTAGTTCACACAATTGAAGAGGAACGCAGAGAACACCACGGCAAAAATGAACTCCCTGCAATACAGAGCAGTAGGAACATTACAAAGCGTTTATTGTGCAGAGCAATGTGTCCACTACTGGGGGCTTGCAAAACATTTATTTGACAAAAACTTTCCCACACAGCCAACACCGCGCAAAAAGTGACCAGTCTTCATTTCTGTTTCCAATTGGGTGCTTTCCCACACAGCCAACACCGCGCAAAAAGTGACCAGTCTTCATTTCTGTTTCCAATTGGGTGATGGCACTGTGTGTTTCACCAGAATGATGTGGAATACACAAGATCACAAAGCATCAAGATAAGGTCTGCTTTGTCGCTGACATGGTGTATTGTCAGCAAATGCTTTAAAATCTGCCCTCCACCACTATGCAGTTATGTCAATGCTAGATTATACTTATTGCACCAACTTTATGGAGGGAAGCTGCACAGGCCTTTTAGTCTCAATCTCGAATAAAACCCTTTTCCCAGCTTGCACACACACTTATCGGCATTCTGCATTTCCTTAACTAATTGTGGTGCTGAAAGTGAAGTGTATGAAGCAATGTTCAGGCTGCGTGATAGGGACTTGCACTTTGCACCTACTTATGTAGCGGGACTCACCATTACATTTTCCGCCTTGTACAACAGGCAAATCACATTCGCGCATGCCGAGTGTGAGAATGGCTATGCCACGACTGCATTAACAAACTAAGTTTGAAGATTGTCAAAAAGGATACCACTGCACCATAATCAAGTACAAATGTATGATAGGATTAGAACTTAACAGATTGAAAATTTGCTCCCCATGACTGAATGCAACAATTTGATATGTCCTCGCCATTATAATAACCTTTGACAGCATGAATAGAGTTGTCAGAAGTGTGGAGCTGCTGCAGTGGTCAGATTCCCTTTCCAGTTTAACCATCGCAGTCGTGGCTGCTTCCCTCTGGGCACTACAGCCCCGCATATGTTTGACATCTTTGAGAACATATAGCAGTTCACTTCATTGCACAATCTCCATAGCATATCAGTGCTGGTAATTACCACAGTCTGTCACTGCCCCCATCACTTAATGATCTTTTTGTCTTTCACCAAGGCATGGCTATGCCACAACATCAGAATGCTAAATTTACCTGGCAGCCATTGCGTCATATGGCGAGAAATTAGGAGAGTTGAAATAAAGGCTATGTTCTCTTTTTGAGTGAAATACTGGATTTTTTTTTTCAAGTCTACATGGCTAAGATCTGTGTATTGAAGTGAAATGATGTGGTGTAATAACAAAGCATGTTTATTTAGTATTTCAGGACTGCTTTTAAAATTTCGCTTCCCCAAAGTAGGCAACAGCGTGCTGGCCGCAGGGCACCACACCAAGCGACTCATATCCTGCTGGGTGCTTTTCCTGTGGCATGCAAAACAAATGATAGTCGAGCACGTCAACGCAGGGCTGCACAGTCTGACAAATTCGTTCCAAGCCAGTCATGTCGAACATGAAAAATAATGCCTTTCAGTTCAATATCGGGCATAACGTAATGTAAATCTTCTAAAGAATCGGCAATCACTTTCAGCAATGATTACACAAGCCATGTGCCAACAGTGTCCGCGTATACGAGTGATAACGCAGGTTGGCACCATGCCACACCTGTGAGGCCCACAAACGGTCGAATGCCTTCAAAGCTAATTTCACTAATGTTATTGCCCACAATCTAACATTGAGCTCAACTGTATACTTTTTCAGTTCTTGAGGAGCATAGACTGGCCCTTCCACATTTGTAAAGTAAAGTAATGAAACAGAGTAAAAAAAACTTTCAAAGAAAGTGAAGGTCCAGAGTCAAAGTTCAGCTGCAACCACTCACAATAGCTCTATGATCTCGTGAAGCATCATACAGGTGAAGCCGTGGTTTTGATGGTACTGGTAGACGTGCAGTCACACAGTCAAGGATAATGGGAAGCTTCAAACAACCAACATGGCTTGCACAGAATAATGCAAGTCTATGAAAAAGCAATGCACAGTTCGATTTAACAACTGGTCTCCGGAAATGTTGTGACAGTGCTCTATTCGAAGCTGCTTCACGAGTTCACATGAAGTTCAGAAACTGCATTTAACCCCCTCCTATTCAGACATTGTGAAAACCCAAACTTCATACATAAGCAGGTACATAGATGAAATGAAATTCTTGCAGTATATCCAACAATTCTCTACACAGTGGAATTAAGTACAAGCAGCAATTTCCAGAATGCTCTGGTCAGAATCGTAATCTGGGCATGACTGACACTGTGTCTGAGTAAATTAAAACACCTAAACAAAAGTGAAAGGTCACGTGGTCTCAACCATTTACGGTGCAGATGAATGCAGGCCCCTTTGAACTGACCCCTGAACACACACACAAAAAAAAAAAAATGAAATAGAGAGAGAAGAAAAAGAAGACAAGAAGGATATCCTTGTAAAAAAAGAGTCCAAGTCCTCCACGTGGTTCCATCGTGCTGCAAACGATAAAAGATAAAAATCATTAAGCAATGACAATATCCTGTACACATTGACAGTAGACATGACAAAGGTGAACGCTGACCAAGAGGCCAATTGGGGAGTGTAAAAGCATTCAAGAGAGCCAAAGTGTGCACACACAGCAAAGCAACACTCGGGCAACAATTAAAGCCTCTCTCTATTTGAATACATTTCGACTCAGTGCCAACCCACCCTCATGCTCATTTCCTTCTCCCTCCTTCAACCTCTGATTTAAACTGAAAATACTGGCACACTCTGGTGATGGTGAATAACAAAAATAGTACAATGAGTGCCAGTTGAAAAAAAGAACATCTGTGTTCAGTGAATTTGGCAAACTTCGCATCATGGATGCAATCAGATTTGCTGACAATACTGTTTCACGGCAGACTCTACGGAAGCATTCAGGGCTGTTTCGAACACACGTAGAAGAATCTCGCACTAAGCAAAAAAGTCACCGGAGAAAAAGCCAATCAGCACAAGTTTATATGGCACTGCTGCTACCATTGCCCGAGAAAGTAATGAACACAAGATTGGTCCAAATGAGCTGCTTATCCTACTTTCAAAATGATTGATATGTGGGGTTCAACGTCCCAAAACGACCGTGTGATTATGAGAGACGCTACTTTCAAAATGTGGCAACAGAGCATGACAGGACGAGCTTAGCAACAACATGGGCAAATGCAATCACTGAATAATATTGTATTGCTAATGTTCTCATCAGATACTTACACATGGCCCTTGAACATGCACCGATTTTTGCAACATTCTTTCAGCATCAGAAAACGCTGCCAGCTATTAGTCGAAGCTCCCGAGAACACACGAGCCAAACATTGGGGCGCAGCACGCGGTCTGGAATTTACAATCAATTTTGAAAGTTAGCTAGAAATTGCTTCTTTTTCTCTCTATAAATCATGCCTCATACCCAGATTGCTGAGCAATATAACCACGTTCACGGACTGATTTGCACATCGAAAGTTGAGCTCTTACCATGGCTGCTGAGAAAGGCCACACTGTGCCCGCATGCAGGGTCACATTCATGCCAAAAGCAGCCAAGTGTACCCAGAAAGAAAAGTGCTCGAGGTCACGACATGCGCTGAAATAGGGACGCATCCTCTTGCCCTCACGTCATGCCCTTCCCGGAGCAGCTCTTCAAAGTGCTCACTAATATGAGCCGGGACAGAAAGCACTTGAAGCATGCGACAAATCTCTGAAACTCTGCTCGGGCTCGGCAAATTTCGAAAATTTCCTAGGCACGTGATTTCTGAAGCGACATGTAGAAATGCAGAATATGATGCCGCTATTACTCAGAAAAGTGCTGCAAGGGACCCTATAACAGTGGTACAAGCACAATTTATATGAATACTGATACACAAAAGCTAAAAGTAGCAACAACGTTCATGGGAGATTGGATACAGCACTAACATTTTTTGGAGGACAAAATACCAAGAGTTGTCTTTGCTGTACGTCTGAGAAAACATAGCCTCACCCACACTATCAGTGTCTTTTAGTAGCGTTTGTAAAGGGGCACTTTCCAAGAATCTTACGGGTATGGGAGACAAGAACAGAGAGTGAAAACCCAACTGTCCCAGGAGTTCCAGCATAAAACAAACACACAGACACACTTCTTTAGGCCAGATTTCCACAAGTGACGGGGATATGTAGTTTAGCCATTAATGGGGGCCTGTACAACTGACAGCAGTTAAGTTGCACCTTATAAATGCAGAAGTAAACTGGAAAGGCTGCACTAAATAAATGAGTAATGCCAGTTTATACCTATAGACATTTGGATCCAAACTGTCATAGCTAATAGAGAGAACATTCATGAGCAACTAAATAATGTGTGCTATGTCCCATGACAGAGGCCCCTTTACATTTTTAGTAGCCACCCCACACTGCATGGAAATTAACATTGGTAAGATGCTACAGCTGCAAACAGATTAGAGCACTGATGTGCGACTTCAGCACGATACACATGGCAGTAGTGGTGGCTTCAATTAATGCCTTTTCAGGTGTCTAATCATGGTAGAGAGAGAGAAGGATCAGATGAATGGTTTCGGTGCCAAAATTTCAGGTGTCCCTACACATTGCCTCTACGGAATACACAATGATGTCCCAATGTTCAAATTTTGAAGCCCACTGGAAAATTGGCGAGTGTTTTATAACTGCATGGTTGCTCCTTTCTTTCTCTCCTTTTATCTTCCTTTTATCTGTCTCTTCCCTCCTACTGAAAGGGTGAACAGGCATTGTGCCCCTCCAGGTGACAGTTGCCAGCTTGCTCTCTCCCTGTTTTTTTCTGTGTCAACGTGTATGCATGTATGCAAATCAAATAAATAAATTAATAAATACTCCCATTACAGCCACAATGGGACTACTCACTGCTCTCCAATCTGCCACCTCTGCATCAATTGTGTCAAGTGCCTGCAGGGATATTGTCCAATTAAGTAGTGTGGGTTATCTATTATGAGGTGTGTATGTAACACAATGCAGATTAGATAACCGATGTCAGAATAATGGAAGAGATATGAGCATAATGAGAACAGACATGGCAGCAATCAGTTGGAATGAACAAATGAGATTTCATTATGAAAAGGGGTGACTGGACCTGGCATAAAAAAAGGACTTTGCAAGGTCTACATACATCTTGTGTCTCCTCCTTGCTATGTGAAAAGTTACGTCAAAGGTGGGGCTGCTCAAAACTATTATAGTGCAAGTAAATTAAGGTCGGGGCCGTGTGGAGCAGACTCAGTTTTGTTTCAGGACTATTTGAAGCAAATAAAATTTCGTTTTGAATCAATTTTAAGCAGGCCAGTCTGACGCTTGAAGCAGATTAGCCTTTGATAAAGAAGCCACCTCCTGTATTCGTGGTAGAGACACCCAAGCTTTCCCTTAAGCGTAAAACACAAGAATGCGAACGGGCCCATTTGCACAGTCTTCGATTCACCTACCACGCTTTGCTTCAACCATGTCATAAGGAAAAGAACATCCGTGCACTTAAAGGGACATTAAAGGTGAAAAACAATTTATGTCAGAGCGAAAGCTCAATGTATTGCAGCATCAAAAATGGTAATATCAACATTGGTGCCTCACTAACGAAAAAATTAAGCTATATGTATCGCACTACGTGGGCCATGAGTGGGACATTTGCGAAATGATCTCGATGACATGAGCGTGTACGACTACAATTAATCCCTAATAATCAAACTAGCTGCAATAAAAAAAGAACTTCCCATGCATTAAGGAACATAAAATGCAGCTTGTCCACTTCTGTTAGATTTATAGAAAAAAGAACCGCCTGGCCTTACTTTGGGGAATGGCACGAGTGGTTCAAAAGTTCAGATTTCGGCTGGTTAAGCTGGATAAGTGGTGCCATCTAGTGGGGCTTAGTTGAACCAAGCAAGAATGACGACCTTCAAGGTTGCAGAAAATCGCTCAATGGCCGTTGTTGCCACTGTGACGCCCGTTACTTTAGCTCTGCTACTACTGGCGATGGCAGCCACGAGGTAAAAGGGGGCAACAATGAGCACGGTAGCAGCGACGACTGAAAAACCTGCTGTCAGGCGCGGGTGATTTAAGTGTGCCAACGCGATGCGGACCACCAAAATGCGATTTTATTTAGAAATAAGCACTTCCTTTGCACGAAACTAGCACTGTGAGGTTTCTGAACTGCTATTTCTACAATCAATGCCAACAATATTTGCCTTCGCTGTCCTTTTAACATTGGCTGTTAGAAGCTCTCTATGAATGCATGACTACTGCTAAGTGGGCAAAGCGCCCATTATATGCCAGCGAGACCGTACGCATAGCCACACACCTTGGACATGACGCCAATTAGAATTCATTATACCAGAGCACTTTGTAATGGGTGCGCCTTTAAATGACCTACTCACTGTGTAATTCACACAGTTTGATGTCTGGTACAACCCCACCCATCTGCCACGGCCCACACAGGAACACCTGCATGCCATGCAGAAGCCTTGGGTTTGATTCCCGCTCAAATCAAAGACATTTATCATTTTCTTTACTCGCACCCATCCGATATTATATAGAAAGATATTGATCATTTTCTTTACTCGCACCCATCTGATATTGTATTGACTGTACATATATATTTTTGCTCACAACCAACAACACCGTCAAGTTGTAGGAGTGCTGAAAACACACAAACGCACACACATGCATAGGGAGGTGTCTCGTTACTTACTGGGGCTGCTGTCTGCCGTGTGGATGAGATAGTGGCTTTCGTGCGCCCCTTCTGGCTCGGTGTCATCCGATGGCAGTGCCCGGTAGGCTGTCTGAAGGCCTGCCATCTTGGCACCGCCACCCAGTGTGTGTGCAGGGGCAGTGCCCACCTGCAATCGCATTAGCATTAGCAACCGCCTCGGATTTTGTGGGACTGTTTGGACTTTCCATACAGCGCCCCAAGAGAGGAAACGTTTTATTGAATAATTACACCATCTCCCACCAAAGGCAACTATGAGTAGCATGCAAAGCAGCGCATGGGTCAACTGAAAGTTCGTTCATTATGGGCACCATGCCCGATGTTAACGTATCCTTGCAAGTGGAGTACACCATAAATTTACTGAAGGTTTTGTTGCTGTTACTCGTCCCAAACTCTTGTTGGAGCATGCCAGGTGGGTTCATCGCCACATCACGTGTCTGCAGAGCCTCGCGCATCGAAGTCATCATGCGATTGCTGAGAGAGTAAGGAGCAGAGGCCACAGCCTCTTACACAGCCACTTAAGCAGGCCGAAACGTGCTAGCACGTGCCAGCATGTTATGACTAGAATACAATGCATTGGTTCATCGCACATCTACAGAATCTAGTTCCCCGACGCCATCGCACGATTGCTGAGAGCATGTAAGCGGGAGAGGCCACAGCGTCTTATCTAGCACCTTACACAGGCCCTAATGCACTAGCGAGACGGAATAGCCGCCTACTGATGAGCTGGGACCTTGCTGCCCCTGCTGCCACCTTGTTTTCTGCTTGTGCAGTGCTCCCGATAGGGCTGCAGAAGTAAGCATCTTTTTCCACAGAACCACAAACAATAACACTAGCAGGTGAATGCATTCCTGACCGTGCTTGGGCCAGCTGTTGCACACACGCAGTAAGGGTGGTTAAGCACACCGGATCGCACTCGGCGATAAGCTGCTTCAGCATTTAAAATATATATAAACCAAACATGTGGGAGGGAAGTCCTAGTCATCCCAAGCCGACCTTGTTGGAACAGCTATATGTCCCCAATTTGCTCCGTACCGTCCAGTAGGAAACTTTTCATGAGATCGAATGCACGCCGAACAAAGCACATCAGGCTATGAAACACAAAGTTCGCGTGAGTCGCACGTATGAAGCAATAGGGAGGTTTACAATAACGTTCGCAGGTTTTGCGGGCGCCATACGAGCTTTAAAATACCGTATGCCCCCCCCCCCCCCCCCAAAAAAAAAAAAATCTAGGGACATCTGCCCCCCTCTCCCGCAAACCCAAATGCACGGAAGCTACACATAGCCCCAACACCAGCGCTTTCCGGGCCTAGCGGGTAGCACGCTATTTCGGATTTCCCGCGGGCGGACCGCAAGCGCGAACGGCGGCTCACGTTACGACGCAGTGGCAGCGACCGCACCGCAAGGGCTTGCGGTGGAATATTAGGGAGTTTTAGAATAACGTTTGCAGGCACTGCGGGCATAACGGGCGCCATATAAGTTTTAGATTAGCGTTTGCTTCCACTAAGGAAAAGTCTAGGGACTTTCGCCACGACCGCAAAGCCAAATGCACGGAAGCTACACACAACACTTCGTGGGCCTCGCGGGCCGCGAACGGCGGCTCACGTTACGACGCATGCGCAGTGGCAGCGACAGCACCGCAAGAGATCGCGGTGCGCTATTCTAAAACTCCCTATTTTAAACCTCCCTAATGTTGCGGTGGCTTGCGAGGGGCCCCAGCTGTACTTGCGCATGAAGTGCGACAACTTTTACTGAGTACACTCTCAAGCAAAAAAAAAAAAAAAAATCAGGAATAGCCTGTAGCCAGTTGAACTACTACTTTAAAATGCCAGAACAAGGAAACGACGGAATATAACGCAATAATAATAGTACAAAAAAAAAACTGACTTCGCAATCTCCTCTTGTTATTGCACCCCCCCCCCCCCCCCCCCCCCGGTCCTCGCTTCATAGAAGAGTTAAAATCAAATCACAAATATGCCACAGTGAGGGCTGCTTGAAAGCAAAAGACATGATACGCTAGCAAATAAGGCTGATATGAAGACAAATTAGATGCTGTCTCCATGGATTTTCTTGAACAAGGTCAAATGTTCTCTCGCGCTTGGTCTTCTTCAAAATGCGGCTGCCCTGGCCTGGATTCGTACCCGCGTCCTCTTTTGCCGCGCTACGCGCGTTTTCAACGAGCAAAAAAAAAAATGAAAACAAACACGAAAACAGGGCCGCTACTTTGTACTTACTCCAATCTCGCCGAGCATATGACTGATGCCATCAACGAAGAGGGCAGACACTGACCACTCCGGAACATGGCGACAAAATGGAGACTCAGTAGAGCCGAGCTTTCGGGAGAGAAAAGCCTTTTGCACGGGGCTGATCGGAAAAGCCGAGTTTCACGGCGGTTGTATGTACGTACACTTGCGGTAGACGCCGGCAGCCAGCCGTAGTAAGCACGAGTCATGTCTACGACTGTGATCTTTGAAATGGCTTCGTGCAGTCATCTTGTACGAATCGGTGGACCGTCTTCCTCGGGGACCGGCGAGTGACAGCGAGCGCGTTCCGTCCAGCCAAAGACGCGCCAACAATGACAGCCGCCGCCGACCACCCCTTTCCGTGAACCGCCGCGCCTTCCCTAGGCAAACCAGAACCGATCCTTTTAAACTATAATGAACGCCCCCAATGTCCACAGAGTTTCCAGTACGGCGTAGAAAGGCGGCGACTCGCAGGAACGGTCGAAACGCTCGTTCGTTCGCGTTGCAAGCAAAGAGTGTGCGCCTCGCCCTGCCTTCAATTGTTTGTCAACTTTTCTTCACCTATGTTTTGTTGATCCCGTTCTCACCAAATTAGATACCGTCGGACCACTGACGACTTCGCGCGTATAACAACACCAAAAAAAAAAAAAAAAAACTGGTCAGGCTAGGAGTTGGTTCAGGATGCGCGTCATCATACATCCCTCTTTTCCTGCGTGCCGTGTTAGTCGCGCCCCACCCTTCATCGAGGTCATTGCGCGACTGCGAAAGTGGTCACCGAGATCTACGTAGTATAAGGTCCTTTAGGACTACCTAAAAGGTCCCCTATGTCCCGGAGAATACACTTCAGCTTTGGTCCTTCGAAACGGGGTAAGGTCCCCTATGTCCCGGAGAATACACTTCAGCTTTGGTCCTTCGAAACGGGATCTAGCTCATTTCCGACGCGACCGAAACACACTTCTGTTTCGCATGACCTTTCGCTTCGAATGACCACTCGGTAATGGTCTCTTCCATGACCGAGACTGACATGTCCTTTCAGAACACTCCGACAACGCCTCCAAGGCGTTGACTCCGATTGCATGGGGCTTTCATCAGGAACGCACAGGCGCCGTCCACGTCATGTCACGTATTAGTCGATCACCGCGAAAGATTGCCAGTCACGCCTGACAAAACGTCACCTCGGACCACTCAAAGATGAAGCAGGGCAACGTTGACTTGCGGCACGACATATCCTTGGTGTTATAAAGACGCGGGCAAAAAGGCTGAGGGACGCCCTAGCGCCTGTGCGTGTCCCTCCTTGTCCGCGTCCTCAGAAGCCTCTGCGCTGAAGGCCAAGGATGGCACATTGCTCCGTACAACGCCTCCTCAAAAATTGATGAGACAGATGCTTGGGCTAGTCGGTGATTGGGAATCAACATATTTGCACAGCGCAATACTACGAGTAGTTACGACGTAACTACAGAAGGAGAGACAATGGCAGAAAGAGCGCCGACTTCAACTTAAATTTTATTAGCGAAAACGCTGGAAATATATACTGGAGGCCAATCAGATGCAAATACTGGGTGATCTGTGTATCAGCATGCCTTCGCTTGCTCTGACTAAAAAAGAAATCGAGTTCCTGGCTTTGACCCAATAGATTGTGAACTTGTGCTGTGGCGTTGTAGCCATATAATGAGATGATTATCTTGCTGTGATTAAATAAGATGCGCGGTGTTCTGTCACGAGTATATATTTCCAGCGTTTTTGCTAGTAAAATTTCAGTTGAAGTCGGCGCTCTTTCTGTCCTTGTCTCTTCTGTAGTTACTGTCGTAACTACTCGTAGTCTTGCGCTGTGCTAATATGTTGACTAAAAAAAAAAAAGTTTTTCTAGGAGGCGTCGCTCTTTCCAACAACTTGACACCAATAATGCTGCACGGCTTTACAACCCTACTACACTGCATCAATGCAGTGGTATATTTTTTGGTACACGAAAACAAGGGAGGGGGGGGGGGAGAGGCTAAATCCTTGCAGCATCGTCGTCATTGCACGAGACTTTCTCGTCTGTTCAAGGCTCAGCTGGATGCACCTTTGAGCTAAACAAATGTCCTAACACAAGACACACCACGCCAAGCCGACAGCACGATGAATAAGCAACTGGCACACACAAGTGGGCGTCAGGTCAAACACATGTAGGGGCAGCAACGCATCCGACATGACTAACCAGAAAAGCAAAGGCAACGCGCAGAACGTGCCAATGGCATGTCGCAAATAGACCTGCTTAAGCACGACCGCATGTCAAGACGTGCGCTCGAAACGCACGAACCGAAAGTACCCAACCCACCGCAGAATACACGAGCGTGCGTTGCCCTGATATTACAACGCTTTTCTTAATGATTGCACCTGGTTCTAGGAAACCCGCTCGGTTTGCAGCGCACATATTGTTCTTTGAGTGCACCGTTTTCGGCAAAGGTCTGCTTGAGACCCGCAAGTGCCTTTTAGTTAGCTTCCTATTCGAGTTAATGGGTGCGAACAAAACACGCTAACCTCATCATGCGTCTACCGACACGTGCGGTGAGAACGATCAGCGATCCAAGCACGATGGCGATATCGCATTTAAAACCAGCGAGCATAGCACGCTATGTCAACAAGACTTTGGCCGATTTGCGCGGAAGAGCCACCACCCGTAAGGTGCAGCGTTTGTCATTAAATATTGTGTTATTAGATAACTTGAATCACGCGCTGTACTTCCCAGTGATTCATTCGGTGCAGAGGCAAAAGGAACCGCACGTTCAACAACACAAGTCGTCGTAATATGCCGTCTGGGTCGGACCAGCTCGCGCGCAAGAGTGAGCCGGAAGGGTTTCTAAATGCGAAGCCAAACGAAACAAGCCGGAGGAAAAGACCGCGCCTGACATCGCGCTTTTTCAGCCGCGAATTCAGGATGACGTGCGTGGTAACAGGCGCACCGACGCTAGACTTCGAGCGGTGTTCCCTGCTTCGAGTGCGCATGATGTAGCATGCCAACATCCACGCGCCTGAGGAGGCTTTGCTAAACGTGCAGCTACGAGCAATTTCGGTCCACCGCCATACGCGTGTATTGGCCGTTACCTGAGAAATGAACACATTAGACTCAACTGCGTCTGAATCCCGCCCGGGCTCCACAACGAAACTGCTAAAAATAGGCTGCTTCTCGGGCGCATTCGTAGGTGCAAACGGGATGTTGCCTGTGGGCCAAAGGCAAGGACACTGCGCTGCGGTCGCCACAATTGATGAGAAGTTCGACGTGAGCCGTTATCGCTGCGGCAGCACTCGAAACACTGCAACACTCCCGCTGTGTTTCGTCTGCAGGTATTCCGCGTCTGGCGAAAGACGACGCGCAAGCCCCGTTGCTAACGGCGGCTGGCGACGAAGCTGCTGCTGCACCAACCGTGCTCGGCCAACAAGCGGACATTTCGCAAGAACTATAACAACGATGCCCGTTGTGGTGCTACTACAACTATCGGGCCTGCCGCGCACTCAAGTCGTCAGTGCGCGCGAAAGTTGGCGAAGAAGAGGTTCGGGAGCAGGGCCTCGAACAGTTGGCTGGGAACCTATAAAAATCCCTTCCCCGAGAAAGACTTACGTGCAGAGGTTTCGATCAGCTGACGGAGGCGACCCTCGCTGCATCATCCGTCGTCTCGTGTGTATCCATGCCGCGCACACAGTCGATTCTACGAGGCAGTGAACCTCCTTGTCACTGCCACAATGAACATGACTGGCACATATCGAAATCCGTGCACGAGGATCACACGGCCAGGCGCGACTCGCGGGACGGTTGTGGGCACGGTCACCCACCAAATGGCCTTTGTCGCTCTGTTTACTTTTAATTTTATTGGAGGGAGCGAGCGTTTCTTTCCTCCATGTCTGAAAGCAAGGATAATGGCAAGGAGGTTATAAGGAGAGGAAAGATAGCGTTATCATAGAGAAATAAAAAAGGTGAAGAGTGGACACTCCCGTAGACCCCAGCGGCCCAATCGACTCTAGCACACCTAGTGGTTGATGAGAGCAAGTGGCTTGCGCTTCCGGTTTCGGTTTCACTGGCGCAACTTTTGAATTACTTTGCATAACCGACGTTTGGCTATGTCGTAAGTTCATAATTTCAGACCACTATTCATCGCCCAAATGGATAGTTTTTGTAGGTCGTTTTGATTTAGCGATTCCCTGTTTTGTTTTGTTCAGTGGTTCGTGCGAATCGGTCGTGACGTAATTTTTATTTTGATTAAGTTATAAAAAAAAGAGATGCAGGTAATGATAATTCACTATCGTTTTATTCATCGCGCTTGTGTTTTTCTTTTGGAACAAGTGATCAATGTATATATCAGTCAAAGAAACAGAGCATCCGCAATGTTTTATTCAAAGGCAAGGTAGAGTATGAGAATATAAAAAGCACAATATGACAAAGGTAGACAACAAATGCATCTCGCCTTACAAATAAATTGTAACAAATATTGTAACAAATACATAGAGAACACAGACAACGCACACATCGCTAGAGTTGGCAGAAGCCGAGAAACTGGTGAAGTATGACACACCGGGCCAGTGGGTAAGTAAGGATCTATGGCAAAAACAGAGCGAACAATGCTGATGAAGAAGGAAGAAGTGACATATACACAGCAATGAAGTCGCGAATCACGCCTGGGCTTAACTGAAATAATGCATAGAAAAAAAGAGCGCACAGAAACCACACGACACAATATAACAGAAAGGCAAAGGTGCAGTGTGCTGGCTGTGCTTAAGAACAGCTAGTCCAAAATGAAAAAAAGCAGACTTGATGCCTGCTTGTCCTCAGAAAGGTAGGGCTTTGCAGCTTGCTCACTACGTGAAAGACAAACTTTATGCTACAACACTGGCAGGTCTTGTGGCTTTTGTTATGCGTCGCCTTCATCAAAAACTTAAGATCCCAAGTGATTTGCGTTTGGGTGTTGCTGTGACGCTTGCGAGCTAAAATAGATTGTAGTCATCACTTTATCCAGAATTGTGGACTTTAATTGGTGCTACGAGAGCGGTATTACAGGGCTAATAAATAGCAGAAGGAAACCACTTTGGCTCATTATTTTTCACAAAGGCTCTACATCGTACGTTATCACTCACAAGCTATATAAAATAAAATGGCAGCGTCCGCAGCCCCATCAAACACTACAAGTTTGGGTATTCTTTTGAAAATTTTGATGGGCAAGATGAGGAGGTTGATGAGAAGCTAAAATACGAAAAGCGTGATAACATGAACCGTGCCCACTTCATACTGTGTTCCTTACCCGCTCGAAGACATTTCAACAAGCGGTTTTGTTATCGATATATTACTTGAGCTGGAGAGATAAAGCATACACAGTGACCAAGCGACCCACAGTAAAGTGTACAGTTCGCCCGTATTTGCTACAAAAAATACAGACAGGATGCCCAACATTCTTTTTAAGGTTATGCAAATCACTTCGAGCGAATACACAGTGTTTGTACTCCTCATAGCGGGTAACCAAAACAATGAATGCAACGAAGGAGTGGTTAGTCCAGTTGAACTGAATATAAGCATATAAGACCATAATGAAGTCTGCTGTAACGAAGTAATAACATAACAAAGCTATTGCAGGATTCGGCTCAACTCCAATACTTTAGTGTAAACCCGCCGCTAATTGCTAACCTTTGAACTTGTCAAGCTGCATGCCCGAGATTGAAGACTGGAACCTAACCCTGTCTAAGTTTCGGTTCACAAAACGCACATGCCAACATAAACGAACCCGGCAAAACATTTTCAGAAACTTAGCGCGACACCCAGCAGAGCAGAAATGAAAATCGCCAACACTTGACAGATGGTGATACAAAACATCGCACACTTTCAGGTGATGTGCAGTGGCCTCAATTATGGCAAGAAAGCGAGATTCAAGTTGTTGTACGTATGCAAAAGCTGCTTCTGATGGCACAGTGAGATTCCCAAAAAGTTTGCTGGGGACGTGGTATGCTTTGAGCATTGTGAAATACTGGTGGGTACCCTTAAGCGTCTCACTGTCGTCTTTCAGTAACTGTGGGCAACTGCAACCGTCACATGCATTCCGAAGGAAGTGTTTGATGAGAAAACCAGCTACATAATATGCAGCGGAGTCATCGATAATATGGGAGTGAATGTTTGTCGCAAGTTCAGAGAGATCGTCTAGAGCGGGAAAGTCGTCAGGCTGTGGCTGTGCACACTCCTCATTATCCACAAGAGACGCACTGGTGAGGGAGAATGGCGACAGCTGTTCCTGGAGGAGGTCACATTCATCATCCTCGACATTTCCGTATTCTGACAGCTTGAAGAGTTTTCTTATGCAGATGTGCTTCAGGCCACAAATAAATTGTGCTACATTGGGGTTGGTGTTGCAACCCTGTTTTTGCCTAATGTGGCCAAATATGTTCTCCAGAGGATCCTGTTGAAGCCTGCGTGTTAACAGGTATTCAAAATTGTAATTTTTGGAGAGGTCGTCCCATAGTTGACAAATTGCCTGAATTGTAATTTGCCAACCTACGATGGTTTGTGGTTGACGTCTGCCAACAAACTGCCATGATGCAATCCAGGGAAGCTGGCCTCGGAGGAAGTCAATCAGCTCTGAATCATTTTTCATGATTGCATGCCGCAGCTTTTGCGAAGTTCTTTTTTTACTCGAGCTGTTCAAGGCATCGAAAATCCTGTCCATACGATCACAAAATTGAGCTGTAGTGATGGCCGAGGCAGGCAGCACCTTCGCATACACCATTGCCGTGATAGCAATCGAAACTGATGCACTGAAGACCTGAGTTGCTCTGCTGACCTTCATATTAGAAAAAGGTTTCTGATGAACGTGCCGTTCAGTCAACTTTGGAGCCAATCGCAACCGCAACTCATGTGAGGATTGGTAAAGGCTTACAATGTGCGACCAGTTAACGATGTCATCCCCAATGTATAACTTGTGTGCTTGGACATTATTGCGCGTTGTTTTAATTAAATGCGGAACATCAAAAATGTAATATACCCGCTCACCATTAACTTCAAAAAAAGGCTTTGCTACAGTCACTTTTAGTTGGTTAGCGAGACTTACATTTGAACTGCCCTGGTCACAAATGACTGCTTTCACTGCAATATTAATGCTCCTAAGCTCCAAAATGAGTGACACCAGCAAGTTATGCATAACAGATGATGGTGTTGATGTGTGCCCTATAGTAAAAGCAACCGGTTGAACCCACTTTCTCGAAACACCAACAAGAAGAAAAACCAGTGCTCGATCAGCGATGGTTGAAGTGCGATGAGTGCCATCATCTGTAAAACCCTGGACAACGTCTCTTGAAGCATCATAGTACAAATTCTTTTTGAGTGCTATTTCGTCGAAAACTAAAGCGCACACTCGGTCCCGTTCATTCCAAGCTTGAGTATTTGTTGCAATGGAAGAAAGGATTCCTGGAATTATGCCTGGAGTCATCTTTACATTAGCTAGCCACCTCCTTAATGAACGCCGGGAGGGCAAAGAAAATACGGAGCCAGAAATCGGTATGCTCGCGGACCTCGGAAGTTTAAGTGAAGAGCGAATTTCTTGAACCACACGGGAAACCGCTTGCCCTTGCATTTGGGCCTCAAGCGAACATGTGCAGAAAGAAGTTTAAAAACCTCCTCGGTGACGTGCGGTCGGATAACTTCAAGGGCCTTCGTAGTCGATGACGGTGCTTGGTGAGGCTGTCTCTGCAGTCTTTTGATAGTTTTCCGCTGTGCTGCTACTTTGGCTTGCAGATGTTTAATGGTTTGCTTGTACTTCATTGATGGAGACATTGTCGCTGGCACACAGGAACGCACTGCAATAAACAAAAAAATTGATGTAAAAGCGAAGAACAACTAATCCCATACGAGCACTTTCCTCGCTCTTTCAGACCCAAGGTGCACAACTTTCTGTGGTACAAAGTTTTCGATTCCACTACCTAAAAACAAACCATTCACAATGTTGACAATGCACAAAAAAAATGAAAATCACTGAGAGCCCACCCTTACATTTTGTAAGTGCACACGTAGTGTCCTTTTGAGGATAGTTTCCTCAGAATGTCCTAAACATAAAATAGCACATTAAAAACTGCTGCAATAAAAGCATAGTCACCATTTTCTCTAAGGCACTCAGGCGTGGAGCTGTTGGCGGAGACGTCTTCTGGAGGGTCTTGTGAAGCTTGTTCAGTGCCTCGGACAATGCTGTCGGAACAATCTTGCGAGCGGCCTGCGGAAGTCTCTATATCAATCCACTCTGGTGTTGAAGTGAACATACAACTTACCGGCCACACAAGTTCCTTTTGTGACAGCTGAACGACTGGTTAAGGTTTTCTCCGGCAAGACGAAATCATCAGAAATTCTTTCACCAGCTACAAGGGAGCTGCCACCTGCAGAGGTTTGGTCAACAGTCAATTTGGGTAAAAAAAAAAGAAATCGCGACACTGAACGCACCCTGTTCATCGGGGCACCTCAATGTGTGGGAGCCGCTTTCTGAAGCCTCTACCGCAGGTCCTGAAGAGATGAAATTACGACAATGTGTCAGTAAGAGGCTTATAATAACACAAACTGAAGCTCATCCGCACCTTGCAGTGCAGCTTCTGCAGCCATGTCACAGTCACTACTTGAAGCGACGCTCAGAGAACCTGCATATATGTGCAGTTGGTACAAGTTACAAAGCTTGTAGCATGGGGAAGCTTAAACAGCTCTTTCAAACGCATAAATTGGTCGAACGTGGAAGAAAAGAGACGGCACCAACTAGGAAACAAGTAATTTGTGATTTTTGGAATTATCAACAGTGGCAGCTTTCACTGATGAAAGGTATACGTACATGTGCACTCAGGCTTGAAGATAACGTGAAATAGCCCTTTAAAGTCTTTCAAAACAAGTTGCGCAGGTCCAGAGCATCA